ATCCGTCCTCCCGCCCTCGTCCCATTCCAGAATCTTTCTCGTTCCTGGAGCCCAAACGTGTTTCACTTGGACGAGTTCCCAATTGCAGTCGCAATAAATACGGGAACATAGCGAAAGATGACGCCACGGTTCGAGCATTCGTTAAGTTAATGCGCGATTTTATTACGAGTTCATTTTTTAATTGTACCCGTAATGACTCACCAATTCTTGGAACGCGATCGTGATACCGCATTATCCATCTCAACGGTATATGCGCGTTACTATGCATATTTATCATTCAACTATTAATCATAACCCGATAATAACAAGAAATCTAAAAAATTTGATCTCTTTAAAAAAATTCCCTGAAAAACATAATTTTTGTATTATTTCATTTAAAAAATATAAGTAAATTAACATTCACGTCTTTAATCCAGATTCCTGTGTTTTAATCAACTTCATTATCGAAACTAAAATTTTTCCCTGAACAAGGAAAAAAAAATATTTTCTCATGATAACAGTTGAAGCCTTGTTCGTAAGATTCGCAAGATTATCTATATACGTATTTCGCAGCTCGGAACTTTAACGAGATCAAGATTCTAACGAGCATAAATCGTGAAAGTTGCCTTTGGGTTTGGACCGTTTGTGTACGAGAGATGCTGGTAAAGCTTTCAAAGTTACTCTATAGTCGTCCTCATTGAGCCTACTGATTTATCCACGCCCAGTAGCCGCTGCTTTATCATACCAAGATGATGATTACCAAGCCGCACGTCAAATGGTGCACAAGACTCGAGCCCTGCAGATAAAATATACTGTACGCGTAGCTGTATAAGAAAAACTTTATTATTATCATTATAATCATTACATACCCGTGTCGTACTCGAATAAATTATAATTGCAGGATGACTCGTTATCATTCCGAGAGTTACCGTTATCGTGAATTAAGCCTCGTTATCATGTCCGACCTACTAGTATATACCACTACTGTACGTAAACTAATAATTAGGACACGTCATTATCGTTGCAAGAAATTCATTATACACAGAGAAGTCATGACACCGAAGGCTGGATCACATAAAATGTAATGCTTCATTAAGTCGAGAAATTCTCTTTCAACGTATCAAACGTATCACGCGAACAGTTCTAGATCCTCGACGCGATCATTTTATGCAGACATTGAGAGAGTTAACCTGCTGTTTAATTAATTCGCAAATACCGTATAATTCCGGGTTGATACTCTCTCGGTGCGCTTCAAGCGTGCGCAGCCGAGTATTGGCTACAGTGAAATACGTACTTAATACTCTATATGCCATCTGTCTTACTGGGACGGCATTTATCCTCGCTTTATAAATGCACTTTTTTCTTAATGCGTAATTGAATTTACGGAGCGTATCTATTAGATGGTATCTGCCGCATAGATTTAACACGGGTGATAAGCTCGCCAAGGCGTGGACGATGTTGCGATTCGATTCGAGCCTCATTCATAAGATTATGACAGATAATTGTTTTAATCATTTTTTTTTTCAAGTGTTTTTTATTAATACTTCCAGATCGTTCGATACAGCGACTCCGTATCTTGTGGTATATTTATAATAATATATCCACGTGGATGGGGTGTAACTGATAGCAATTTTTTGTTAATTGATAATTTATTAGACTGTTTTTTCGTGAACCAAATACGTCGGGTTTAATGTACAGGTACACGGTGTAGCTACTCGTTTGATTGCGTGTTACTCTACGTTACTCCCGTCGGAAGCTGACGAATGCACTCGGCCGGTCATTGAGAGACTTCATTAATATTCGCTAGATAATTAATTGATAGGTATCGGTAGAGATCGACAGCGCGAGGCCAGTCGTGAAAGTTAATAGCGCTTGTTAACCCACTCGAGCAATCTAAAGGTTTTACTATAGAAATATATAGGGAAGCTGTACCATTCTATATCGTTCTATAGATACGAGACTTGTTATCACGAAAACTGTCAGGTCGGCTACTCATGCGGATCGGATTTAACGTTACTTTACGTTAGCTGAGCTAATAATGCTGCTAGATAGCTGTTATCAAGACTTCATTGATAACAGATGACTTTAAATCGCACGACTCGCATAATCAAGCAAACAAATATTTTATATTCGACCCAGTGGGTTCTTTGAAGTTTCCGCGTACAAGAGTGACAAATTTTATTTTTTTTTACATAAAAATTTAATCACACAGATCGAGCTGTATGCTTTGTATATGATAAGCTTGGATCGGGGCAGGTCAGGATTTCAAGTGTTTCTGTCAATTTGTTTCTATACGTGTAAAGGGTTACTGTACTAAATCAAATAGTATGGAGATCAATGTACGGAGGTGTGTATGAATGAAGATAATAAAATGATAATAATTAATGATCGTCTTGACGCGAGACAAAGTCCCTGAAAGAAATTTAAGAAACCAGTATGGAATTCCCATTAAACAAGGATCCACCATGGAAGCTGTATTATATCAAAGCATCACTTCTGATTGTCACTTAACGAGAAATCGCCTTTGGGCAAACTGTTACTGCATCGCCATCAAGTGTTGAGCCACACGGTAAGTTGGTAGGGTGTCCCGCGTGGGCAGAGCTACACGGTTGTTAATTGTTCGCCAAAGATACTTTACAGCTTGATGTAACGATTCGTTCGATCTCTGTACCAAAGACGTTTTGCTCTTTGGATGATATATTCACTGTGCAGTGGATAAAGGATGATCTAACTTTGATTGAAATTTTTTCAAGGGTTTTAATTTTTTTTTTTTTTCTATGCTAATACTTTATACGCTAAGGTTGCGCGATGTATATGATATGCTGCGTAGATTGGACTTTATGGGAATTATTAATTCCTTGATTTATACAGTTATAATTTCTCGATTAAAATTGTCCAATAGTTCCATGCTGTTTGCGCAGCATCCGCCATGGTTAGTTTGGTGATGGTCACGTGAGTTCCGTTCTCGCGTGTTCTTCTCCGTGTGCTTCTATGTGCTTCCACTGTTCTCTGGGGCGTGTTGCTGGGACACTTGGCGACGACCCATCCCTCATCCCTTGTCTGAGATGTCCAAGCTACTGGGTGCTGTCCAGTCGCCGAACTCTCGAGTAACTTCTGTTATTATAAGTTAACCCCATCCCTCAGAGAACCCCAGTCACGAGGAGCCCGTTGCTTCCTTGCTCTTCCTTACCCACACCGAGTACACGGAGAACCCGGCAGATTATGGCCGTCAGCCAGCGACCCCAGATCTGGGAAACAGTGTCCGAACTTCGCTTCGCTTGTATAAGGAAGTGTTCAGGGTCCCAAAGAATAACAGGTTCAGGCCATCTACGAACCCCAAACGTGAGTTTGGACCATGTATTCGTGAAGATCTTATCCGAGAAGTAGCGCCCTTATCACAAGAGGATAAATTAATCGAAAATAATCAAATTGAGATATTACAAAAAATTTTATAGTAATATAAATTTAATTGTTACTAACAATAATTTTATAAATTTATTTGTGAAGTGATTTTGTATATTTTCTTTTTTTCAATATATTATTTACATCCTTTTATTTTAGCCTCCTCTTCAATCTGCAATCGTTGGACGAGCCTTGCGTCGACTTTTGGCATGGGATACTGAATAAGCCGAGTCCACACGTAACGAAACAACTTTACGAGAGCGGATAGTTGCGTTGAGGATATAAAGCAAGCGCTTCGCGTATAACTTACAATCAGCCAGGAGGAGTCTGGCTGACTCGTGTCTTCCCATCAACTGCAGCGACCGTCTCCAGCATCCGGACTGCATCGAGTTTACCTTGGTCGCATCAACGGTCAGTTTAACTATGAACTAAATTTTAGTCCTCTTGGTTGCGCATACTAAAAACGATGCAATATCAAATTTGTAAAAGGTATTTTAATCTAAGACGTTTAAAGTCTATCGTCTTAGTTCATATACTGCTTTATGGTAGAGTTAGAAAGATATAAGAGATTTACGTTTCTCATTTTTTTTCTTCAGCTACGGGGTGCGAATTGCAGGAACAAAACGATGAGTTAATTAAACTCGATGAAGCGTCGACTGAGCTATTAAATCTGTACACTGAAGATTCCTACGTGTGAGAATCTTGAATCTCGAAGCAAGCCTATCGGCAGTGCTTTCATTAGCGTATCTTCGCTCCTGATGCATCTGCGTGACTGGTGCAGGTAAGGTTTTACCGATTATACCTATACAGTTTGAGAGTAAGCCGCAGACAGTTTTTTTGTCGATTTCATTTATTTTTCATATTGAATTGTATCTAGCAAGCCTGTACAACGTGTTATACCGATACGCTATTTATACGTCGGTTAGTGAACGTGCGTTGTGTATTTTCTAAGGGAGTATTGTGGGTGTCATTGAATTTTCGAAATCATCATTTTTCAGGTCGAGGCGTCCAGTTCACGAAGGAGAAATAGTTAATATCAAGGATAACGAAGAGCTTTAATAAAGCACTGCCTTAAGGTGGTCGGTGTCGTTAAACGCGAGCGACGGACCTGTAAGTAGACAGAAGCAAAGCAACGAGTGAAGCGCGACAATAGATACGCGGCAGCGAGTACAATGGTACATTGTAAATCAAGGCATTTTAAAAATCTGACAGGATATATGTTGACTCGACCTCGTATATCGTATCACACACGGGCGGCAGTGTTGCCCATTAAATACAGCATTATGCTACCCGACGACCGGCCAACTTCAGGCACGTAATGGTAATTGCTGGGATGTATAACGAGGACCATTTTCGGCAAGTTGCCATTCAGCCAATCCACCTCCTACAAATCCACTTTGTTTTCCTCTTTCTCAACTAGAGATCCGCGTGAGAATTCGCTAAGTTCTCGTTACCAATCCTTATCCAAGATCTGAGAAGGGTCACTCGCCAAAGTTACGTCAAACAGCCCATAGGAATTTTAAAAAAATGCTAAATTCTACGAAACGGCCTATGAAGAATTCTGAGAAAACAAACATACCTCTACCTCACGCATGTTCATCCCTCTTGAATTTTCGCTCTCGCGTAAAGTACCGTCCCTTCCCTCCTTCTTCCCCTGATCAATCGTTCCTTCGTTACCTATACCACGTAGGTTCTTTCGTTCCCGTGGAAATTTTCACGAGCGCCCTGGAGCCAACGTCATAAATACACCCATTGGCGCGGCCACTTGCATATTATTATTGACAGTTAAGAATGAGGAGGGGCTCCTCACGAGGCTTTAGCCTACGATGCAGCCCGCAATTACGCATAGTAATAAAATCCCACGGCCGTGGTCTAGCCAATAAATAGTAGAATGCGAGCATACATGCATATAAAGAGTGGGAGAGAGGGAGAGACAGAGAGAGGCGGAAGGTGGAAGGTGGGAAAGAAGGTGCCGAGGAGTGGGTGTGTTAAGCTGCTAGGATCTTAACTGCACATGGACACGCGACAGACTCTCCTGCAATTGCGTAAAAACTCGGAACAGTACACGGTACCCACTAAGTCTCTCGTCGCTTTAACAATAATAGGTATACATATATGCATCCACGTATGGTACGTATACGTACCTATCAATTTGACAGATAAACTTTTAAAGCTCTTTTTACATCTTCCCAAGCTTTTTTTTCTACTTCTCGGATCTTTAGACTCTTCGTAAAACTGCGTATACGGGGACTCGGACATTAGTGTGTAAACCAGTCATTAGAGCAGCTGACCTAAACAGGATACGCTTACCAATTTCTAATGCAGGTTAATCGTAAATCTATCGGCGACAGCATGACCAAAGTAGTCTGTATATCGGTGATCATAAGCGAGAGGTAGTTAATGGCTGACTAATATATGTATACCGATTATTAACCGCGATTGCGATCGCCGATTTAATACGAAATTATTGATATAACGCTAACCATGTATCTCTAGTCTGTCGCAGTTTTGCTCTCGTTCTTTCGTTTGTGTTTAAAGTGCCTGCCGAGTTTAAATCAAGTCAATTCCGAAATGAAGTTTACTGGGTTAATTAACGAAGGGCGAGAGTTCCTCAGTGGGAACTACTGGGAAGTTAATCCAACGCACTTTGTAATCCAGGATTCGCGGGAAAGTTGCCCTTTACGAATCCGAACCCTGTCCTTACTGCTGTACGGCGTTTTATCGCGAACAAAATTGAACGCTATATCACCTTTGGCTGTGAATAAATTGTAATATCGATTGAACGTATTACGTAGAGGGAAGATGAAAATTGCTGCAGTATCTTATAAATCTACATTGTGAGAAACCCTGGAGGAGTTGCAAGTTAGAAATCCTAACGCTAACAAGAGGTTACGTTTAGGGGGCAGTAAGCAGTAATGTATTCCAGTGGAGTAGTGAAGCATGCATATTCGAGATATATTATAAATAATTACTCAATTATATCTTTGGAAAGGTAATGAATAAAGATGGCAGGGTTGCGGGAGAGGAGAGAGGGTGGGGCAGGCTAATAAAAAAAAACTTGCGTTGAATATTCAAACGCAACAAACTAGGTACACGAACGTCGGAAGGGGTGCAGGATGAGCTTATTTCAAATGGAGATCCATATTACAACCACTCCTTAACCGAAGGAACTTCTGTTTTCGGATTTACGATTTTAACCCGAGACATTCCTATCTCAATAGCGTATAAGATTTTCGGGATATTCTACAGGCAGGCGGTGTACCTATATATACGGTGGCGAAACGCAAACCGATTTCTCATTCGAGCAATTCAATTTCTGGCAGGGATTCGCAGAAATTTAGCGAAACGATTCGTCCTGCCCTCTCCCACCTCGATAGGACGTACCCATAAGTGGGGCCTGGTATTTATTTTATATATTTCTCATCGCCACTTTGTTCTGCCGGTTTACAGAAAAATTCTCTCTTTATTACGATATAAATTTCTTCGGCGGACGCGATAACTATAAAATATTACGTAAATGATTGCCTCCGTGGACACTGGGCAGCCTTTGCCTCCTTTTCCGCGCAAGATAATACGCCGCGAAATTTACGAGGCATTATTTTCGCCGCTGTAGAAATCCGACTCTTCTCTGGGATAGGCTGCTATTTCTTGGTGCCGAGTGCCGTTGTACAGCGTGAAACGTCACAAATTTGCGTGCGGACCTTCCCTACTACCGGTAGGATAAAAATGGAAATAAAAAAAAAAAGAAAAATAAAAGGATTCTTTCACAAGGCTATTTTGCCTCTCGTAGGTACTGTTATTCTTGTGAAAAAATCTACTCTCGAGATTTTCGCGTTTTATCGGGTAGACTGAAAAATAAATATTTCATCGCACCCTACTTCTCCTTCCTGGGACACTGCGATATTTTCATAAGATGGAAAACTAAGCGCGTTCGACGTTTCTGCCCGAGAGATTTTCTGCATGCATAGGTCCCCTACGCCGGACATGATTGGCTTCTGATAGAATTACGAAGGGTGGACCCCCACCTATCCACCCTTGTATCCTTCCCGTCTTTCGGTCGGTATAGGGAGGGTTCCACATTGACTGGGATGGGAGGATCCAGTACAGAACAAAGACCACTCAACGACGATACACTCAACCCTGCAGTATCTTCGTATCAAATGAAACAAAATTTATTTTTTATTATCCCACCACACGGTATCGGAGAATCGATGAAGGATTTTTAATGATAAAAAAATTTATTAAAAAATAAAAAAACATTAAACCTACAATAAGACGGACAACGTCGAAAAAAAATAATCTCGAGTATAATTGAAAGCTGGGGAATTTGGAGAAATAGAGAAATACTATGCGTAACGCAGTAAAGCCGTAGAGGGTTTGTAAGATGGACTCGATTTCTATTCTACCGGATGTGACAGACGGCAGGAACGTACCTAACACGGTAGAGCGAGGGTTCTCTTGACGAATAGGGGTTGGCGAAATTGAAAGACTCGAGCGGGCGTTTATGCCAATTTCCTTCGCCATAAGTTCATAATTTTATTGGCAATTTGCGAGCCATTACGCAGCCTGCCGCGCGCTCGCGACACACGCGCTACGAACTTAACGCGGGTTGCGCGCGTGCCCTGGTGTGCGTTTGCGTTACGTTCCGTTGGGTTGAGTTGCGTAGCGTCACTCGGTTTTAGGGTTATGACCGAAAACGTAATCTTCCTACGGATGAATTTACGAGTAGCATTACGCTGATTTGATGACGCCATCGAACGAAAGGTTTACCCTATTCATATTCGTATGTCTCCCTTTTACCAATTACGATCGAAAGGCCAACCGGTATGCAAACCAATCACCGGTCGCGCGTAATCATGACAACTGATAACAATTATACGAATTAAGGACGCATTTTATTCGAGTCCGGACGTCTCTCTGTAATAAAAAAAAACATATCTGCAATTCCAAAATAATTTATTGCATCGTCAGACAAGTGTGCGCGAGGACATCGAACATTGTTATTTGCCAAAAAAAAAAAAAGTTCTCTTTCTCCAGTGTCTTTCAGTTCATCCGGTACGGAAGTTCAGAACGTAAGGACGCCGAGGATCTGGAAAAATTCTATGGACACTGGATACAGGAAGCTTTCGAAATTTCACAGTGGACTGTACGTAGATGCCAACAGCGTCGGTCGCTTAAAAGTCGAGCACATCATTTTATCTCCATGATAAATACGCTACATTTTATGCGCATTATTTTGCGCCCCTCCACCATCCCTAACACGCGCTCGCGCACACGTGAGTGTGTCACAGGACGATGTGTGTGTATATATATATATATATATATATATATTCGAGTGCAAAAGAGACTGAGGGATGAAGAGGGTGCGTGAACAAGAGTGAAAGAAAAAGAACCCAGCACTTCTCTCCTCATATACGTGTATTTTCATGCATACCGTTCGGAACCTGTTCAGCTCGCACTCCCATTTCCCCTGCCCCTCCCCTCTTCCCTTCCGACAGACCACCCCCCACCTCGCTCGTACACAGCCCATCTTTTTTAATGTTAGGCAGTTATAGCCGGGCACAACGCGGAAAAAAAACCTAGGTCAATTTTTATCACACAAACCGACCGAGTGTGACCACCCCTCTTTTGGTCCAAGCACTACCCCAGCATCCCTCGATTTGCCGCCCCTGGGCCTCCTGCAGTATAGCTACCTAGCCCGTGAGCGTGGGCTTCCATAAAAAAGTGCCTCTTTACGTATGGCGATTGGTCCGCGGAATAGGGTAATGTTGTTTTTTTCAATGCGGGGAAAAAATGCACGCAGCCCGTCGATTGGTCGAGGGGACAGATGACGTAGTGAGCGACGTGCCACCCCCGTAGGTGGGGATGCACGAGACGGCATGAGGGCGCGGTACCTCACCGGGGTGGAGCTCGAATTGGATGGAAATATCATTACATCGGAAAAGCCTCTGGAACCTGGAAAAATGTGATGCTTCTTTGCAAATTGAAGGGATGACCAGAGAGGCCCGACCCTCCTCCGTCAGAATCCTTCACCCTTATATCTATACCGTCCAAAACTTACAGCGTTCGAAACGCAATAATATTCCTATAAGAAGGACTTGGGTCTCGTATAAGAAATTATTACGTATTGGCTTTTACGAAATTTTAAGAAACTATCATAAATCCTACAATCAAATCCTTTATTATTGTCTTTTCGTGCATTTCGTATACCTATGTATTCTGAAGGAATTACGCAATACTGGTTCTATGTATGTTACTAAATATGTTTTTTTATAAACACCAATACGTACACGAAATTTTTTTAATGCATCTACTATATAATTAAATCTTTATTCCTACGTTACTGCGATTTTGTACTCTCTTACAAATAAATTTTGTATCGATACAAATAGTTATTTTTAGCATAACGGAATTTACTACTGGCATGCTATTCGAAATGCGACTCAATTAATCGGTATCGTCGTTACGATGGCTATGAGAACAACTAGGATTGAGAAGACAATGTGACACGATCTGAAGCGCATTAACTAGCGCTTGCATTTTTTTCCATCGGTCGCGTCGGTCCTCTTTCTGGCTAGCGCCTGCCTGGGATGCGTTTTTATCGATTCGTAGAGCCCTGCTCGTGCCAGTGTTCATGTATCTGTATGTTCGCCACTACGTACTCACGTACAAAGCATCGATAGAGAAGCATACAGATTGGAAGGTTGGGTACAGTCGAAGAGTAGCAAACCCCTTTTCGAGTTCAACTGCTGAAATTGGAGTTACCTGAATTCCTAATATTTGTAATTTCAATTTTATAAACAATTATTTTCGCTTTATATACTCTCTGAATCAAGGCAAATTCAGCTTCGTATTAAATCCAGCGACACGTGCATCGCATTTTTTATTCTATTCGTCGTTAAAAACATCGATGCAATGTGGTATCGTTATGCATGCACACCTGTAAAAAAATGAAACAATAAGTTTGACGACCGCACCATCTTCTGGCTTTGCGAGTACAACTAAATCGTAAATTGACAATACGTCAGAAAATTGCAGCGATAAATGTGGATTCTGTAACGTTGATATGGTACATAGACGTAGAGATTGGATCGTTTCGTGTTCAAAGTACAAACGGATCATCCACCTCCAATTACAGTGGGTTCGCGGTAAATAGAAGAAACGGGAGCAGGAGTAAGGCGAAAAAAGTGAATAAAAAAAAAAAAAAAAAAAAAAAAAAAAAAAAAAAAAAAAAAAAAAAAAAAAAAAAATAGGAAAAAAATAGCAAACGTAGAAACGCGAAGAGAGCGAGAAAACTGAAAGCGGCCTAGAGGCGGTTTGCAAAATGTTCACCACGCATGCCGTAAGTGATCGTGAGAGTGTGTACGGGAATCAGAGGCAGGAAGTGTGAGAGACCGGAATAGGGGAAGGCAGTGAGAAAAGGGTAGGGAAACCTAGCGGGTTGGGCGTTTATCGTTTACGGAAGTGCCAAACACCTGTGGAATGGTACCTACTACGGTCCATCTAAGTATGCAATCTAGTCAAAAATAAATGAAAGAATTTACACTTACTTAAGAGCTTCAGAATCGCGCATGTGATAGGGTGATACTTAAATTTAACTTCTTTACGTGACAGCTGACTATATATATATATATATATATATTTTATGAATTCTATATTAACGTACAGTAAATACGGTATACTACAGTTTTGAACTTCATCAGCGTCAAAGTTCATTGATCGAAGTTACGGAATCTCTTGACCGTTTCCCATCGTTACTTCGAATCGTAAATGCCCTAAGGGATGGAAGGATTCTATTCGCTGTCAGAGCAAACCCCTGGGTCCCTTGGTCACCGCAAGATCTGCGGCTACGTAGAACCTTGGGAGAATTCACAAAGCGACGATGAATCGACAACCGAGGTGGAATAGAATTCCAGGTCCGTCGTTATATGACGTAGGGGTGGTTTGGTCTTATGGGGTGAGTTGGATTCTGATGGTGGGAGACATAAGCATAACAATCA